ATCACCAGAGGAGGTGAGGAGGATGGTGATCTGTTCACTTCAGCCCCTACCAGCAGGCCAGTGGCTAGAGCACACACCTGGGCAACGGTGGGGGGGCTCCCACTGGGATAACTGGTGAAAGGGCTTCAAATCCAGCAGCTCTTGTTTGCTTCAGCTGTGAGCAGAACATTTCTGAAATACTAAAAACTTTTGACTAAATGTTTAACAGTCCCTTTTTGACCCTTCCCAAATACCTTGTAATGTCTGTTTTGATTGGAAATTTGTTCTGCATTCTTAGTGGTTAAATTTGAACTAGCACTACAACCCGTAAGTATGCTCTCTTCTGCTATACCCACTTTCAGAGTCAGTTGACTTCACAGTTTCCTGTGCCTTTTTCTTTTTTCCCCCCCTAGTCTCATTCGGTACCATGAAATTTCCCCCATGTCCATCTCTTCCTTACAGTAACTGTTGTATTTGCCATATTTCCTCTCTATTGTTTAATTTCAAGAGTTTAATGAAAAAGCAGGAAGAACATTAGCTGGTTTTGTCTCATGCAAATATTTTTAAATCTTTGCAGTATTTAAACAGGGTTGCTCAAAAATACGAATTGTGCTTGCAATAAATGTAAATTACTGATGGGGTTAAACCTGACAGTTATTGGAGGTTAATATTTTAACTGCAAAGTCTACTGAAATGGCTGCACATGTGGAGAAATACACAAAGCATTAAGTGAAGTGCTCATGTTTGCTTGATTTATTCTCTGCAGCAGACGGACTCTGGTAGTAGGAGGTGTAATTTGCAGCACATTAGCTATTAGCCAGTGTCACTGCTTGAGTGGGTGGTGTGAGTCTCTTGTGCCTGTATGGTGTCATACTGCGCATGCGTCAGAGCTGGGCGCTTCTCCCCTGTGCTGTAAGATGAATTTTTTGTGAACAATATTCTGTATTTAAAACTGGGAATCTGCCAGTTTTCAAATGGGTTATTCTGTCACATGGATAATATCTAGAGTAAATGCTTTTTGATTTTTTTTTTTTTTGGAGGTGGTTCATTTTTTCCCCTTGTTTTTTTTTTTTTCTCCCAAATTCTTAATGTTTTGCAAAACTGAATTGTATAAGTGTTTGTCTTACCTACCTTTTTTGATATGCGGTCCCCTGAGGATGGAGTATGTAATTTGCAAGATACCCAGCCTGTAACTTAGAGCAAGCAATATTGTGCTAATGTTTCTTTTTTGGGGACCCTGTGCATGTACGTGTGGTGTTCAGCAGTGGTTTTCCAAAAGAGACTCAGCTTGACGCATCTTTTTCTGTGTGCACAATTTCACTTGGGTTGCTTTTAGTTCACTTTTTTCCCTAGAGGCACCTGTCTCCTGCCACATACCCATCAAGACTAATTGCACCATCTGGAAGACTTTTGTGTAGCTGTTACTCGTGCAGAATATCTCTTGGGAGCTTAATTCAGAATGTGAATGTGACCCCTGAAGCCATGTCAAGTAGCTGCAGTAGTTTCTAGTGTCTAAAGGATGATCACCGTAGGCTTTATTTGTTTCAAGTCTAATGCGGTTTGCTTTAGTGTGGATATGTTACATGTCAGTAACACAACTTCAGTCATGTTTCGAATGGAATTAGGCTTTGACTACTGGTTTGGTAATTCATAGAAAATCCTGTCTAAAATTACATCCAAACCATATGTAACGTATAGGCTATATGATTAGGTGTAGAAATGACAGACATGTCGCTCCTTATTATTACATTATTTAATTTTTATGTCCTGTTCTTCCCCCCACCCACAGCTGCACTTCTCATTAATAGTTTTCTGCTAAGAATGCAAGGTGTTCTTGCTAGTGGTATTGCAACCCCACCCCCTGAACAGCTCTGAACTATTGTTTTTGTTATTGCACTGAAACTGTTCGAGTAGTTTCAGCACAGGTGATTTTCTGCTTCTGTTCCTCACCTGGTCTGATTCAGGTAAAAGCACGGCGGTGCTTCAGTTCTACTGATGTCTGTCTAGGCAGTAGCTTATTTAAAGGCCAGTGCTTTATAACCCTGTGGTGAAGACCTTTCTTTTCTACTGTAATATCCTGTCCATTGGCAAGCTATAGAGCACTGGGCACGAAAAAACAAAGTGTTCTGTTTGTTAAAAGTATCACCATGATTTACCCTTTTTTTTTTTTTTTTAATATATAAACAGTGTTACTCACTTTTAATAGGATCCTGCATTTAGTAAGACACTGATTTTACCAGCATGCATATGTGAAAAAAACCCAATTTGTTCCTGAACCCACTTTTCTTTAAAAAAGATGGAGTTGTAAATAGTGTTGAGGAAATATGTTTGTATTAGTTGCATCATCTGTGTAACTTGTGTGGTTGTGAGTAATGTGGTCAACTGAGATTCAAGCCAGAGAAGTACTTACATCACCGCAAACAATTATGAGTTCTGCATGCAGGATGTATACACACTATATATTATTCATTATATGTATTTTCTGTTTTTTCCTAGATAGTTTAAAGTTTATTGTGGCTCTGACTTTGGAAATCTATAGAATTTTAAGTGTTTAACTATCTTGGCTGCATTCCATTAACTGTATATTGGAATATGGAAAGAAAATAATTTGTGTGCTTGGTGAGAATAAAGCTATGCAAGTTACCAATTCCCAGAATGCTGAAGGCAAGCAGCTGTTCCCTCCTTAAAATCCCTCTCATGCACGTATCTGGTAAACAAAATAAAGGTGCCTGTTGCAGGAGCACAACAGGCGCTCTTAGGAAGGGTTCTGAGCCGTGCAGGCTTTCCTGGGTTTGAGTGGCTGGGAAGTACTGCAGCTCAGGGATGTTATGTAGTATCTTCCTTTCAGTGGTTCTTATGCTGTTTTATTCAGGGTTTGTTTTGGTTGTTATTTTAAAGGATCATTGAGGATGGAAGAAGTAGGAGTTGGTGGCTTTGTGATATGGTTTCTCCTCAGGAAGTTATGTTTGTATCTCATGTGGTGAATAGTAAAATCTGTGCTGAATGTCTTCCACTGAGCTATTGATTACCCATGTTCTCCTGATTTTCAGAAACATTTCAGTTGATTTATTTTAAGATGGCTAGCAAGGTAATGTGCTAATTGCTATTTGTATTTTACTGCTCCGTTAAGAGAGACTAACATTTGATTGTATTACTGCAGATTAGGATTGGTGGCTAGTACTTGCTTTTGACTGAACTTCAGCTTTGACTGTAAATGTTTGGTATCCATTTGGTTCTTAAAACATCAATTTAGTTGAACCAAACTCTATAACTGTCTGAAGCTGTGCACGCTTGCACCTTTCTTTTTTTTTTTTTTTTTTTTTTTTTTTTTTTTTTAAATTTGGCAGAAATTGATACCTTCTTTTAACACCACAGCTGCCCACATCATTGAGAGTGTGGGGCATACCCCATCCTTAACTTGTCCTCGGTGGGCCAGTCTACATGTGAAGCAAATGGGACATGGGTAGATAAGAAAGGCAAAAAGCTTTGGCCTCGTTTGGCTCCTAGACCCCCACAGAGCTAAAAATCTTGTGAGTTGTGGTAGAAAGCCATACTGGCCTCCTCTTGCGTTAATCAATAGTGGCATTTATAGGATGTAGCTGCACTGAGTGTGAGCTCAGGGCTTCTCCAGAGGGGAGGTATTAGCCTGGAATCAGTGCAGGTGTGAAGATCAAGCCCGGTATCAGCTACCTGCATGGACCTGCTCATTCTCTTCCTCGAGCACGTGGTTTGGGCCATTTCCCCATCTCTGTAGAACAGGCTGTAAAGACTCAGCAACTCAGGATTTGCAGTAGCACAGGAACTTACACGCAGAAGGGTGCTATTTAATTTTTTTTTTTCTATGTGCCTGTATAAGGAAAATAGCATACTGAAGATATTAATGCGTTGTGAAGTGGTATAAATGTAATGGAAAAAATCCAAGTGAAACTTTAGGTTGCGTCCACTGTGTTCACATACTTCCAAGATCAACATCTTAGATTTTCATTCAGATGTTTTAAAGATTGTTCTGTTTTGATTTCCTTCAGTGATTAGGGCTAAAATTATACTCTGGAATAAAATGAGTTGAAGTGCTTAGTTATCTGTGATGTAGTTATTTAACAAATATTTAAATGATATTGGAGATATGGGCTCTTAGTTATTGGAAATTAGTTTAGTAATTTAATGACATCTGGAATGTATTTTCCATTCTTCTAGCTATTTAGCCTTACTGGTGAACATAAGGAGTAAAAAGCAGCTTGACTAGGACAGGAAAAATACAATTGGAGATGTTGCAGTCAAAAAGGAAAGCTAAGATTGCTTTAAAACAAGTTAATTTCTGACATGGTATATCTAAGTGGTCATTTAGAATTGCATTCAACAGATATGTTTTTGGGGGCAGTTTCCTTCTGACCCCAAATTTCAAGGTGCAGCATTTGAAACATTTTTTTTTTAAAAAAAACAGCTCATATCTACTTCATTTATCTCTAACTTTTATGTCTTTCATCAGTGTCTGCAAAGTCTATTCCTGATATACTTAGACGTGTTGTACGTATTACACAGTCTAGTCATAACCACTCTGATCTAAACAGTTTTCTTTCAGGGGGTTATAGATTTTGGTTGTACCTTTCCTCCTTTCCCTTTCTTCTCTTGAAGTACAAGGCTTCTTTTGGCTTTTTTTGTACTTCAAACAACAAATTGAAAGCTCTTATGTTTCTGTTACAGTAGATCACACTGAATTATTCTGAAGTACTCCTTTCATGGCATGACATGAGATGCAGGACATACACTGCTCCTTGGAAATAAACAAGATTTAACCCTGAATACTCACTTTTCTCTGCAATACTAGTATTTCATTGTGTCAGGTAAAGGATGACAAAAGATCATGATTAATACTTGCAGCTTATCTCCATGCAACTGTGAATATTAAAGACTTGATGAAATTATGGCAGCCTGAGATCTGAGTCTTTCTTTCCGCTTTGGTATGACCAGTGAAAATGAATTGTGAAAACATGCTTTTTTTTTTTTTTCTTTCGTTTTTGCAGGGGTTTTGTGTATGATAGCCGAAATAATTTACAGATGCGAGGTTTGGTCGTATTGCTTATTTCCAAAGCTGCTGGACCCAGCACTGCAGAACTCTCTTTCCAGCACAACATGGTCAGTGGAATTTATTCCAGGTACGTAGTAACTTTCTCTAGCAAGATACACCAAGGTACATTCTATGGGCAACTTCACAGTGGTATCGAAGCATCTTAAGTGGCCTGCTCAGCTGTTAAGGAAAATCAGTACTTACCTAATCACAAAACTTTGTTCCTTGGGTTTATTATAAACTTTCCACAGTGAAAGCTATTTCCTACTCTTTGTATAGCTCTTATAATATCCAGGCTTGTATCTTAATTGTGGCTTTCAGCACAACCAAATCAAAAACATGTGGATCAAGATAGTTATTTGAAAGTTTGTGTTAAGAGGTACTTGGAATCCAAAAAGTAAAGATGCTAGAAAATATTTTTTAATAGAATATTTTCATTTTCAGTTACTCAGGTACACCTACTTAACTAGAAATTTCAGAATCAGTTTGCCAGTCTTGTGGAATACCAATTGGTTTCACTGAGCACGTATGTTTTGCTATAGCCCCTTTGAAAGATGAAACAGCATTGTAGAATAAAGTTTTTTACCTTCTGCATGTCACAGCAGAATTACTGAGCCTACCATTAAGGTTCCTCAGGCTCTCACCGAGATAATTAACCTTTACCAAGTTCCTAAATATTTTTGTTAAGTATTTAAACTCAATTACTTTATACTGTTAACAACCATAATCAAAAACAGTGGTTGCTCTCCTCTGTATATTTGACAGTTAACTGTTTCACTGAAGTAATAACTGGGATCTGGTTGAAAAATTGTAAAACTCGAATTTTTGAAATCCTTTTGAAAAATTGTGTGTTGTTTGATTGAGGGAACAGGTTGTCATATTTTCAGTTGATTGTGTTTCTGACCACTGTGATTTATTAAATGAAGATGCACAAACTTAGTGACGTGTTTGTATCCTGATTTGTTTTAGAAGTGCAAAGATAGCATTGTGAAATTGAGAAGGCCAAACAAATGAAGATGTTAAAATACATATGATGTCTTAAAATAACAGAGAAGGAGAATGTATATGAATGGTACAGACAGAAATAGCAGTAAGTAAGAAAAAAGACAAGGCTATTAAAGAGGCTTGTTATGGAGAGCTGTGTTGTACCTTTAGCGGTTTAATTCCATTCTTGTTTTGTTTCGTTCTTAATGTCCCCTTAGGGTTGTAAAATTTTTATATTTATATGCAAATGATGTTCTATGAAAGCATAATTCTATTTAGTTAATTATGGCACAGGAGGTATTTTAGTTTGTTTTGTAAATGATTAAAAAAGTTTACCTTAAGTATGCCTTATAAAAGGAGAGAAAAGGCATTATTTTTTGATAACTAAGTTCTTGAGTATGATGATTCTGACCATGGAGGTAACTTTTGAGTGTTTAAAGCTGCCGTGGGGAAGGTGACTAGTGGAAGTATTCATTAAGGAGCAAATAAGACCTTGAATTAATAATGAGCCATTTGGTGTAAATGGACATCATTGGAACTATGCCAGTTCAACCAGCTGAAAATCTAGCCTAATAATCTAAGTTTGAGCAAGTCAATAGCCATTATAATATCTAGTTCAGAGTTACAAAGGTACTCCAAAAATGAAGCAGCTTTGAATACGCCCACACAGGTTCACTTAAGGTTCATTACTGTCTGCAAAAGTGATAACTATGGAGTTGTTAATTTAAATGGATTTTCAATGACACTTTACGCCTGTAGCATGGCGTAAATACGAGCAAACCGATACATGTGAGGAGAATGCCAGTGCATTGTGTGATTTTGTGCCATAGCGGCCAGGTCTTGTCCTCTGCTGAAGTCACTGTGGGCTTTGACTTTGACTTCGGGTTCCTTTCTTTGTTTAAGGCACTTTTCCAAAGACACTCTTAAATGTGAGTCTTCTGATTTCTGATTTTGATTGCTCCATTGTATAAAGCTAAGAGGACAGGCAGCTTGTAAAATTGTGATCTTAAAGGGCTTTTGTGATTGTTTTATGTATTACAAATAGTGTTTTACCAACTGCTTTCTCCTGAGTGAAAACAAAAGGACAACATTTTCCATTAGTACATTTTTGTCTGCTATCTTGGTTACAGTGTAATTATATATGGTGTGTATGAGACACATACATATCAGAGGCAAAGTGTATCCCTCAGTGATATGAAGTGAAGAAATACACTTAATCCTCTATTGTTCATATATGTCTCCAGCTTTGGAAAGTATTTTTTGGAAATAGATTTTTACAGATTTTCAACTCAGCTGTAAACTATACAGCCCTTTTTGTTGCCATGCCATATAATTACTTCATCTTTATATGTAATATTTTGCTGGAAATATTATTTCTGGCACTGTAATGAGCATCTTCATTGCCTGATACGTGCTGTGAACGTTATATTGTGGACTATTAGCTGGGATATGGCTCACTTGATTTTAGGGTACTTAGTAGTGATTAATTAATTGCATTCTTGAAATCTGAGCATAAGCTAAGTTGTTCCAGTACTTGTCAGCAATTGCACCAGCCCAGTCTTTCTTTTCCCACTGTTTGTGTTGGAATCAGCTTTTGTGCTCTCTTTCAATATTTGGTCCCACAGTGGATAGATAGCCAGGCAACATCAGTCCACTGTATCTGGTACTACACTAAAGATACAATCTGTGACCAGGAGGATGTAACAATGAGATAATTATTTAATGTAGAAAACCACAAAAAAGCGTGGTGGATTTTTTTCATCCTCGAATCTGGCATTTTCTGCATAACCTCTTCTCCCGGTTTCATATTCTTGAATCACAATATAAGCAGTACAATAACTAATTAAACCAGAAAGACACTGAGAGGTGAATTTGGAATTGCAAAAAAATATTTTTTTTTTTATCCTATTCTCCTGTTCTCTACATATGTCAATTCATGGGACAATTGACCTAAATGTATAAAAATAGATTAGTTAGCTACTTAGCTGGCGTCTGTTTTTTACTGGTACACAATGGAACAAAACCGATGCCGGCTACCAGAGAGCAATCTTTTCCAGAATAATAAGGATTGCAATTGAGGTAGTTACAGGAACAGGGCTAGTTCAGCTATATGGTGCTGCCTCTGGCCATCATTGCCTCCAGCTTTTGCACTTCATAATTTGCAGGAGACGTGATCTGCCCACATTAAGCTGGGGGCGTGGGGGTCATTGCCTGCAATGATATTATAGTAACTGCTGGTTGCCTTATGAGCCATGCTGAAGATAAAGGGGAAAGTGTTCTAAAGGCTGCTTGGCATGGTTTATTCTGTACAGCCACCTCTCTATCATGCTGCCAGCAACCTGACTTTATTCCTATTGGCGGGGAAAAGAACCTGGCTTTGCTTCCAGCTCAGCACCAGTGATCCCAAAAGAGGATGAAGAGGAGAAGTAGCAGCGTGATAAACAGCTCTGTTTCAGCTGCTGGACAGATTTCCTAAAGTTGAAACTTTCTGCTGGTCTCTTAGCCTTTAGCAAAATATTTCCTTGGCTAGAGAAGCGTTGCAAATGTAATGATGAAGTGCAGTGCTCACTACGGAGTGTGCAAGCAGTGTCACGTAAGGGTTGATGACAGTGCCTGTACTCAAGCAAAGCGTGCATCTCCTATTCCCTTGAAACTCGTTTCTACTCCTGTGCTGAAGAGAAGGCAAAACTCGCGTTTGTGTTTAGGCAGAATCTAACTAATGATAATTTATCATGTTAATAGTATCAGAGAACACCTCAAATGTGACAGAGGAGCCTAGAGCTTCATAAAAGCTTCAGAAGAGCTTTGAGACACGTTCCCTAAGTGGTGATTATACTAGAGTCTAACAGTCCTCTCTATTGCATTCTTTCAGAGCAAAACTCACTTGGATAGCCAAGTATGGAGCTTGCTGTTCTTTCACTTTGCTGCTGGAAGTGAGGTTTTTATTTGAAGCTCCAAGATCATGTGGTTTCTGAACACTTACAGCTTTGTGCTCCATAGCTGGAGCTAGATTCTTACAGTTGAAGATACTAAGACTGGCTTGGGTCCTCTCAGTAAATAGCCAAAGGGGTATCTTTTTCTGTTCGTGCCTGGCACTGCCAGACACTACTGGCTGGGGACTGAGGAATCTCCTTGGCTTTATACCGAGTAATGAATTCCTGACATAGACTCTGTATTGCAGCTTAAAATGCAAGTGACACCAAGGAACAAACTTATGCCATCGCTCCATCTCTTCAGGCCTCGGTATCCTTGGCTCTAATACAGCAAGTTATTTTCTTCTCTCTCTCGTGTTTTGCCTTTTTTTTTTTTGCCATTAGTGCCAGTTTCAGAAATACCCGCTAGCACTGACATCCATTGAATCAGTTTTGCAGATTTCCTTGGATGCTCGTCAGAGGCTTACAAAAAAAAAAAATATCCTTTTTTCAGTCAGATCTGCTCATGCATTCACACTGGTGGATCCTATAGATATTGACAAGCAAAGACCAGACCTTTTTATTCTACCAAATCAGCAAGCGTGCATCTATATGTAGAGTGGAAAATAGAAAGTACTATGTCAGATCTGTACTAATACCTGGTTAATGGAGCAAACAAATTACTGGATTGGCACTATCAATACTGGGCTCTGTCTCTGCCTCTTCTCTCTGAGAATGATGCAGCTGACCTTTAAAACTCCAGAAATTCATCTCTTGCAAGAGGAACATGCTTTCCTACAAGTATTCTCTGGATAAACTTGACTCTGAATCAGAATTTTTCCTGCTGCTTGGAATAGTTGTGGTAATACTGTAGTGACAGTAATCATGAACATACAGTCCTTTTACTTGGTGTTTGAGTAATGATTTTGGAACCAGCGTTGCTGCTGCTTCCAACAAAAGCCCAGTTTAAGTGGAAGTTACCAGCAGACACTGACTCCCTGTTATGGTGATGGGTCCTTTGCTCATCGGGTTCCAGTAGGAATTCTTACTAAGTGCCTTGGGTGTGTGCGTGCACATACACAACACATCAGTCTGATTTCACATGCTTTCTGTCATTGTGGCTATGCCAGTCATCTTGTTCTCACCTTCTTCAAAGGAACATTGATTTGCAACTTAAAGGTCTCCAAGAAAT